ATATACTCTTTCTACTTTTGAAAAAAATTTTTTTTGGTTTTTTTTTGTTTGTTTGTTTTGTTTTGGGGTGTGTGTGTGTGTGTGTACTATCAAATCAGATCTGACTGGTACGGGAGGAGATTGCCCCTTCTTCTCCAGCAGAGCATCTGGTGGATTCAAACCACATACCTCTGGTATTGCAGTGCAGATTCTTGCCTCTAGGCCACCAGAGCTCCCCTCCCTCTTCTTTTAATACTCCAGGATCATTTAATATTCTGCACAAAGCATCCTTAAGTATTGCAATTAGAGGCTTGATACTCTTCTTCAGTTCCTTGAGCTTAACAAATGCTGAGTGAGTTCGCGCCCTTTGATTTTCTGACTCCAGCTCTTTCATTATTTCATTATAATACTTTACTTTGTCTTGCCATACTGCCTTTTCAAATCTTCTGTTCAAGACCAGCTGCTTAATGTCTTAAATCCTTCCCTCTGCTTTGGCTTCTGTGCGCTCTAGTGCAATATTCAGAGTCTCATCTGACATCCATTTTGGTCTTTTCTTCCTCCTCTGTCTTTGCAATGACCTTTTGCACTCTTCCTGGATGATATTCTTGATATCTTCCCATAACTCATCTGGTCTTCATTCATTAGAGTTCAAGCCCTCAAACCTATTCCTGAAATGGGTCTGTAATTCAGGTGGAATAGACTCAAGGTCATATTTTGGTTCCTGTGGACTTGATTTCACTTTTATTAGCTTCAGCTTAAACTTGCATATGAGTAGTTGGTGATCTGTTCTACAGTCAGCACCTGGCCTAGTTTTCACACTTGATATTGAACTTCTCCAGCAGTTCTTTTCACAGATGTAATTGATCTGATACCTCTGCATATCATCAGGTGAAATCCATGTGTATAACCTGTGTTTATGTCTCTTGTAAAGTGTATTTGCAATGAATATATTGTTGACTGTGCAAAATTCTATTATCCTATCTCCAGCTTCATTTCTGTTACCAAGTCTATGCTTTCCACTTACTGATCCTTCTTCTCTGTTCCCAACTTTTGCACTCCAGTCACCTGTTATTATTAAGGCATCTTGATTGCATGTTCGGTGGATCTCTTTAAAAGTTGGTAGAAATCTGTGATCTCCTCTTCTTTGGCTCTGGTTGTTGGTGCATATATTTGAGTGATAACCAGTAGTTTCAGTGTTGTCTCTGCTCCTGACACAAGTGTCTTAACCCACCATTTCTGCTCCACCAGCATTACTTTCTATGGATAAAACAGATTAATTTACTATGCCAGGAATGAGAATTGGAAGAAGTATGGTGTCAAATTTCTTGTCAAGAAGAACATTTCAAGATCTATCCTGAAGTACAATGGTGTCAGTGATAGAAAAGTATGCAAAAACATTCAACACCTACTAATGCAATTATTATTCAAATGTATGTACCAATCACTAAAGCCAAAGATGAAGAACTGAAGATTTTCACATACCATCAAATATGTAACCAAGAGTCAATAATAGTAATTAATAACTGGGATGTAAAAGTCTGAAATAAAGAAGAAAGACTGGTAGTTGGAGAATATAGTGCTCTTGGGGGAAGAAAAAAATAGAAATAACATGACAGAATTCTTTATAATCAATGTTAACTCATCAAAAGTATTCATTACTAAAACCCTTCTTAAAAATATAAAAAGCAAACATAAAACGTATTTTCATGTTCCAAAAATCATAAAAAAGACTATAGACATCAACCTCACCTGACAAAATACACAGGAATCAGACTAACTAAATCTGTGGAAAGAAATAGTGGAAAAATTCAGCATTCAAAACGAGGTAAGGGCCAATTGTGAAAAAAGGTCAACAATTAACCATATCCAAGTTCAAATGCCAACTCACGAAAATCAAAACAAATCCATGAGAGCCAAAATATGACTGAGTTCATGCCACCTGAATTTAAAAATCATCTTAAGAATAGACTTGCTTATGTAGTGACCAAAGATCATTTTGTTCTACTAAGCACGATGTCTTTCTCCAGGGAGAGGCTCTTCTTGATGTTGTTGTTGAGTATCTTTTGAGTTAGACTCCAGTTCATGTCGAGACCCTTTCGTACAGACCTTGCCCAATCCTACACCATTTTCAGAAAAGGGCAGTTCTTGGAAAGGGTCATCATGTTTGGGTTTTTTTTTTTAATTTTATTATTTTTGTGTGCGTGTACCGTCAAATCAGATCTGACTGATACAGGAGGAGATTGTCCCTCCTTCCCCGGCAGAGCATCTGGTGGATTTGAACCGTTCGCCTCTGGGATTGTAGTTGCAGCTCCTTGCCACTAGGCCACCAGAGCTCCCCATGAGGAAAGGGTCATCATGTTTGAAAGGGTGGAAGCCAATGAAAGAGAGGACAATCCTCAAAAAGATGAACTGATACCATGACTCCAAAAACTGGCGAAAGCACAGTGGAGATTGTGAAAATTAGTGCTGCCAATTGGCTCAATATGAGAATCTTTGTCTTCTTGATGCTGAACTTTCACTTCAGGTCCTCCTCAGTTTCAGTAAGCAAGGTTGTGTGATCTGCATAATGTAGGATGTTAATGAGTCTTCTTCTAATTCCTATGCCACATTCCTCCTCATAGAGACCAGCCTCCCAGATAATATGCTCCACATATAGATTGAAGAGGTATGGAGAAAGGATGCATCTCTGGCATACACGTTCCCTGATTTTGAACCATGTAGTGTTTCTTGGCTCTGTTCTGATGACTGCTTCCTGATCCAAGCAGAAGTTTCACATGAGCACAATTAAGTGTTTTGGGATTGCTATTCTCCTCAAGGTTAGCAACAATTTATTGTGATCCATATAGTCAAACACCTTTGCACAGTCAATGAAACACAGACATTGCTCTGGTACTCTTGTCTTTCTGCCAAGATCCATCTGGTATTAGAAGGATCAGTAGTTGGAAACATGAACTTTGTGACAGAAATGAGGCTGGGGATAGAATGACAGAATTCTACACAATCAATGATTTTTCATTGTAAATATCTTTTATAAAAAACATGAAGGCAAAGCTATACACATGGATTTCACCTGATGGTATGCACAGGAATCAGATTGCTTACATCTGTGGAAGGAATCATTGGAGAAGTTCAATATCAGCAGTGAAAAGTAGGCTGGGTGCTGGATATGGAAGAGACCATCAACTACTTATATGAAAGTTGAAATTAAAGCTAAAGAAGGTCAAATCAAATTCATAGGAATCAAAATTTCATCTTGAGTCTATCTTCCTTGAATTTCAACACCAATTCAGGAATAGGTGTGAGGCCTTGAACACTAATGAAAGAAGCCAGATGAGTTATGAGAGGCCATTTTTTTTGTTCTGCTCCTTTTCTGACTCTCCACCTTTCCCAGCGGGATATCCTTTTCCAAGCAATAACTGACTCCTCCTAACAACATACCTAAATATGTGAGATGAAGTTTCACCATCCTTGTTCTAACGAGCACCTTGGTTGCCCTTTCTCCAAAGCATGTATCTGTTTGTTCTTTTGGAAGTCCATGGATATGTAGTACTCTCATCTAGCACATGTAAACTATCTGCTTCCCAGGTAAAATATAACAGCTGCAACAACTGGCTCAAACTCAGCAAAACTATGAGGTTGGTGCAGGATCGGGCACTGTGTCCTTTTCTTGTACATAAAATCACTCTGCTGGAGCTAGTTCCCTGATTCCAGGCATCTAACAGTAACAATATTAGCTTTACTTAGAAACAATAAATCTATGCTCAGGTTTCTATTTTTCAAATAATGACGATGACTCTGGTAACTCAGAGGGAGTATCAGTAAATAGAGGATGAGGATCTAAGGGGGGGACAGAGGAGTGGACATGGGTCGGGGGATAATCATGAGGTTGCACGGTTTGATGGGTGAGGGGGTGGGTTGGGGAGGTAGGGAACATCTGGTGTGAGGGGCAATGTATACAAACTTTGTAGGTAAACCAGTGTAAAAAAAAATAGAAAAAGAAAAAAATTGCAAGAAATGATACATAGATAGAAAATCATAACGCATACACTATTTATCAAAGATGACCATCTCATTTTCTATCCCCTGAAAGACACTCACATTTCTACCACCACAAAATCTAACCCAACTGTAAGCACAGAATTGGATGACATGCACACTAGCTTGTCAGCAGTCAAGGAAGCATGGTGGCAGGTAAGGGGAGAGGCTAATAAAACAAAGGGATGCATGCACTTTAAGAATACAAGAAAAATTACAAAAGTATGGCAACAAATAGGATCTTCTAACTTACACTCAAATAAAAAAATACATTTTTTAAAAAGAGATTAAGATAAGACTTTGAAATATAGTTAGCTTTTAAAAACAATCAGATTAACCTTTATATTTTGTTTACAAGCTAAATAGTAATTTTACTTTTATCACATATTTGTAGTTCTAAAAGAAGCTGTTCAGTATTTTTCACTGAAATTACTAAAATATGCTGTCTTTTTATTTACTATAATTTCCTTGTATATAAAGACAATCAAACAGACAATGACAGCAGATACATACATGCAAGAATAGAGGACACACACATACACACACGAATGGAGGATACAATGGCTAAAAGTATGATGGGTTCGTCAAATCTTTCAAAACTAACCACATACCAAGGTCACCTTTATAGACTTAATTATATGTAGATAGCAAGGATGAATGTAAAATGATTATTTTTTTATTTCTCAAATTTTATCCATTGGGATTTAACGTCTTATTCCTTCTGGAGATTAGGATTCATGGAAAAGGAAAGAACTCTTCTATTTTACACATGTAAAATGGGTCAACAAAAGGCTCACAGACAAATATCTCAAGTAGCAAGCCTTCAAAGGGATTCCAGCCTGGAATGCAACAAATATTTATGGTGCATTTTAGATCTCTACTTTTATAAATACAGAACTAATGTCGCACCCTGTAAATAGCTGCAAACACAGTGTCACATTTCCATTATGGAAGCTCCCAGCAGATGACTCAGGGTGTCACCTTACCTGAGAGGGCATCCTGAGCTTCAAAGAAAGTACTGAGACCTCCCTTCACATATGCCAGACTGCCTTCATTCTTCTTGTTCGCCTGCTTCTTCAAATTGGTGACTGCCATTTTTAGCTGCTCAAAACTGAAATGAAAAGCAAATGTCTAAAACAAATGAAAAAATAAAATACAGTAGTGTAAAATATTGTTGTTGTTAGTATTGTTGTTACTGTTGTTATGACTCACTTAGTCAACTACAATGCTTAGAGACCCTATGAACAACACAGCTGAACCTTGTCCTGTCTTGCACAAATCCTCATGATCTCTGATATACTGGAGCCCACTGTTAGAGTCATTGTGTCAATCTATTTTTTTTTTCCAAGATCTTTTTCTCTTTCTCTGACCCTTCACCATTCCCAGTATGATGTCTTTTTCTAAGGACTGGCCCATCCTGATAACATGGTCAAAGTATGGACCTTGCCTCTAAACTAGCTGCACTTCCTCTAAGAAAGATTTCTTGGTTCTTCGGCAGGTCATGAGATCTTTAATACTCTTCACCAATGCTACAATTCAAAAGAATCTATTATTTTTCTGTCATCCTTAGTCTCTGTCCAACTTTCAAATGCAAAGAAAGCAAATGAAAATACCATAGCTTACATCAGACACACCTTAAGCTTTAAACTGACATCCTTGCTCCTTGATACTTTGGAAGAGATCCTTGACAGCTACTTTCAACAATGCAAAAAGTCTTATGACTTCTTGAATATTATGGGTGTTGACTGTGAATCCAAGAAAAATGAAATCACTGACAACTTCAAACTTGTCTTCGTCTATCATGGTGTTACCTATTGGTCTATGGATGAAGATTTCACTTTTCTTGGCTAAGATGTTGAGTTTTGATGCCGTATTCTTCCTCTTAATGTTCAGCTTCTGAAATTATTTATTCATCTTCTCAAATCATTTACTCAGCTTCTCAAATTATTTACAGATTGTGTGGATATGGGGAAAGGACACTACCCCAACGCATACTTTTCTTGACTTTAAACGATGCAGTGTTCTCTTCTGTTCTGACAACTGCTTCATGATCTATGTAGAGGTTTCAAACAAATACCATTAGATATTCTGGAACTTCCCTTCTTCTCAATGTTATACATAATTTGTGATCTACATAGTTAAATGTCTTTGCATACTCAATAATACAAGCAAATATTAATCTAGTATTTGTTTCAGCCAAGACTCATCTGATATAAGCAATGGTATTACTGATGCCACACTCTTGTAAATCTAGCTTGAACTCCTAGTAGTTTCCTGTCCATGTACTATTCTGATCATTTTGGATAATCTTCACCAAGAGTTTGCTGGTGGTTTCTATACTTTACTGGATCACCTTTTATGAGAATATGGAAACAAATATGGATCTCTTCCAGACAGTTGCTCAGGTGAGTAATGGGCCTTGTTGACTGCTGATATTGAGCTTCTCCTTCCTACTATTCCACCGATGTACTCAATTAGGTCAGGCCTATGTATAGAACTGTCATTCATTCATTCATTTGTTATTTGCAATGAGTCAGTCATTCATTTTACAAAATTCTATTATTCAATCTCTAGTCTCATTTCATTCACTGAAGCCATATTTTCCAATCACCATTTCTTCTTTGTTTCCAACTTTAGCATTTGAGTCATGATTTATTTTTAATGCATCTTGATTGCAAGTTCAATCCATTTAAGACAGTAAAAGCTGATAGAGATCCTTAATTTCTTCATCTCTAGTTTTAGTAGTTGGTGCATACACTTGAATAATCCTTCTATGTATATGTACAGTATTCAAACACTCATAGCATTGCAGTTCAAGGCAGATCTTAAGATGTTCATTTTACAAATGAAAAAGACACCGTTCATCTTCAATTTATCATTCCGAGGACAAGAGAGCTACACAGTCAAATGCCTTTGCATAGTCAATAAAACACAAATAGACATTCTAGTATTCTCTACTTTCTGCCCAGATCCATCTAACACCAGCAATGATGTCCACAGTGCTACGGCCTCTTCTAAATCCTGCTTAAAACTTCTGATAGTTCCCTATCTATGTACTGTTCTAGCTGTTTTATGCTTGCATGTGATATTAATGATTGACAGTTTCCACAGTTAGATGTCCTTTCTTGAGAGTGGCAACAAATATGGACTTCTTCCAATCCATTGGCCAGACAGCTGTCCTATAAATTTCCTGTCGTAGACTGCTAAGCGTATCCAAGGTTGCATCTTTTAATTGAAATAAGTCAATTGGTATCTCATCCATTCCTGGAGCTTATTTTTTTGCCAATACCTTCAATGTTGCTTCCACTTCCTCCTTCATTACTATTGGCTCCTGTTCATACGGGACTTCCTAAAATTCTTCGGTGTCAATCAATTCTTTTTGATATAGTGATTCTGTGTATTCCCTTGATTTTCTTGTGATGCTTCCTGGGTCATTCTATATTTTGCCCATAGCATCTTTCAGTATTGCAACTCAAGGTTTAAATTTGTTTTTCAATTCTCTCAACTTGAGAAATGCAGAGCAAGTTTTCCCCTTTTTATGCTCCAATTCCAGCTCTCTGCATATTCCATTATAATTCTTTGTCTTGTCCTCCCACATTGCCCTTTGAAAACTTCTGTTGAACTTTTACTTCAGCATATTTTCCCTCTGTTTTGATTTCCTAACACTCTAGTGCAATTTTCAGAGTCTCTTCTAACATCCATTTGTGTCTTCTCTTTTCTGTCTTTTTAAGGACATTTTGCTCTCTTCATGAATGATATCATCCCACAACTCATCTGGTCCTCGATCACTGGTGTTCAATACTCAACCTATTCCAGGATGATCTTGAAATTCAGATGAAACAGATTCAAGATTTCATCTTGGTTCTTGTGGACTTACATAATTGATGGTCTGGTCTTTGAGCTAAGACTCCTCTGACATAAGCAATGATATTTCTTCTTCTATTTCTTCTTTGAATCCTGCTTGAAATTCTGGCAGTTTCCTTTTGAGGTACTGCTAAAACTGCTCAAGAGTTATCTCTAGCATAATTTTAGTTGCACGTGATACTGGTATTATTCAGTAATTTTCACATTCTATTGATCATTTTTCTTTGGAATAGGCACAGATAAAGATATTTTCCAATCAGCTGACCAGGGAGTTGTCTTCCTAATTTCTTGGCATAGACAAGTTTGCATATTTAGTGCTGTATTCATTTGTTGAAACATCTTAATTCATAGTCCATTAATTTTGAAGCCTTATTTTTCAGCAATACCTTTAGTGCAGCTTTGACGTCTTCCTCCGTCCCACTGGTTCTTGATTATATGCTGACTTACATCTGTGGAATGTTGTACTTTTTCTTTTGGCACAGTGATTCCTTCTATCTTCTTTCAAAGCATCTGTGTCATTCATTATTTTTTCCCATAAAATCTTTCAACACTACAATTTGAGGCTTTAGTTTATTCTTCAGTTCTTTCACCATCAAAAATATCAACTGTGTTTTTCCCTTTCAGTGTTTTAACTCCAGGGCTGTGCATATTTTAAGCAATACTTTACTTTTTCTTCTTCAGTTGCCTTTTGAGATCCTCTAATCAGGCCTTTTATTTCATCATGTCTCTAGTTGCTTTAGCAACTCTATGCTGAAGAACAAGTCTTCATGTCTAAATAGATAGCCAAGTCCAGAATTCTCTCATCGTGTGTCCTTCTAAAAAGCTCAGCTGAAGCCTGTCCACCATAGGTGATCCTTCTAGGATTTTAAATACCACTGGAACAGCTTCCAGCATCACAGCAATATGCAACTCATCCAACTATAGCAAACTGACAGATTAATAATGGGTCATTCATAATAAAATTATATAAAAGTTGTTTATTTACAGTTTAAGAACTTGAAAAAACACAGTATTTTATTTCTATATATTAAATAGAAAAACACATAGGCAGGCTTGTGTATTTCAAAAGTTTTATTTCTACTTTAGTTACAAAATTTCATCTGAACATACACATTTGAATATATTTTGAGTACTGTGATAACCTAGATACAAAGCAAACATAAATATTGATAGAGAAGAGCAAACGCATGCCCATGATGAAAATTAAAACCATCTTTGACAATCAAATTCCTTTGAAATCTTTATCTTGAAAATTTATCACACTAATTTTGTTTTATGTATTAAAAATACACATTTAACATATTATATACATAAAATAAATAATACATAAAAATACATATTGACAAATTTCAATCAACAGATGCCATTGTAGATGTGCTTAAAAGGTTGTGTCAAGAAATCTGGAGGAAACTACCTGGCCAAATGACTGAAAGAGATCCAAATTTATTCCCATTCCAAATAAGGTGACTCGACAGAGTGTGGGAATTATCATACAATATCTCTCATATCACACATAATAAAATTTTGCTGAAGATTATCCAGAAACAACTGGAACAGTACATTGATAGAGAAGTACCCGAAATACAAGCTGAGTTTAGAAGATGCTGTGGTACTAGAGGCATTATCACTAATGTCAAATGGATCTTGGAAGAAAGCAAAGAGTACCAGAGGGATATCTTCTTGTGTTTCATTGACTATACAAAGGCATCTGACTGTGTGGCTAACCTTGAGGAGAACGGGAATCCTAGACATTTGATTGTGTTTATGTGAAAACTATACTTAGATCAGGAAGCAATCCTCAGAAAAGAGCAGGGAAACACCACATGGTTCAAAATTAGAAAGGGAGTCTATCAAGGATGAACCCTGTCTCAAAACCTTTTCAACACATATGCAGACCGGATCATTCAGGAACCTGGGCTTTATGAGAAAAATGTGGCTTAGTGATTGGAGGAAGACTCATCAATAACCTACGTTTTGCGGATGATATAACTTAGTTTGCTGAAACTGAGGAAGACCTGAAGTACTTGCTGCAGAAGGTCAAGGACTGTAGTCTTCAATATGGATTGAAACTCAACATCAAGAAGACAGAGATTCTCACCACTGGGCCAATCAGCAGCACATTGATGCATGGAGAAGAGACTGAGGCTGTTAACAGTTACAGCTTGCTCAGCTCCACAATCAACACTCTGACCTCATGAATCAGGAAATCAAAAGACAAATTGCATTAGGTAAATCTACTGTCAGGGACCTTTTGAGAGTCCTAAGAAGCAACAATGTCAATCTAGAGACTAATGTCTGATCCAGGCCATGGTCTTCACAAGTACTTACTATGCATCAGAGAGCTGGACAGTGACCAAGGATGACAGAAGAAGAATCAATGCCTTTGAGTTGTGGTGCTGGAGAAGACTTTTGAACATATACCATGGACTGTCAAGAAAACAAATAGTTCTGTCTTGGAGAGGGTGAAACCAAGTTTCTCCTTGGACGCTAGGATTTTGAAGCTCCATCTCACATACTTTGGGCATGTGGCCAGTCCTTGGAGAAGGACATCATGCTTGGAAGGGGGGAGGAAGAGTGAAGGAAGAACCTGGATGAGATGGACTGATAAAGTAACTACAGCAATGGGGGTTGGTATGTCAGAGTCAGTGAGATTGGCTCAGGACAGAGCAGGCTTCAGAGCTGTTTTACATAGGGTCACTATGAGTCACTGGTGACTTGACGACACATCACAACAACATTAAAAATAACAACTTTTTTTCATATTTTCCATTACTAACTTCTGCTTAAAATAATTTATCTTAAAGTGTGTTTCAGGACGTTGACTTTTCAAGGTAGTACATTTTAAACAATGAAACAGCCATATATTAAAATATCTTTATTGACTAATGTTTTTGTCCAATCTTTCTGGTGAGTTATATCTGCTCTCATAGTGAGACTAGGTAAAAATGTTAATTAGCAGACTAATAAAAATCCTTTAGAGTGGATATATCAACCTAGAGTATTTTTTCACCCATTTTAAGTCTGGTATTTACAAAATGAGAAATCAATTTATCTTCCTTTGTTCCTAAAATGGCCAGGAAGAGTGTTGAGTAGCCCATCAACTGCCTCAAGAATTTAAAAAAAAATGCAACCAGAGTGCTCCTTGGAAGCAAAGATGACTTAGCTTTGTCTCACTTACTTTGGTACGTTGCTGGTGCTGGGTCAGTTGATTGGTATGTAACATGAAGTCAGAGCAGACCCAGAGCTGTCCCTCTGGTGGGTTTTCAGAAGCAGTAGTAACACAGGAGACTGCCTATCCTCCTCCAATGGAGCAGCAATTGGATTTGAACCATGTGCCTTTGGGACTGCGGGGAAGCTTCTTAGCACCAGATCTGAGTGGGTATGTTGCTAGAAGTTATTCTTTGGAGAGGAGGCAACATGCTTGGAAATATGGTAGGTGATTTGTTGTCCATAGGGTCTCTATGAGTCACACTTGACTCGACAGCATCTAACAACACTGCCAGGAAAGGCATTTTGTTTTGTGTTTTATAGAAGGGTTTACACTTGTGAGTGGAGACTGAGTTGGTACACATCAGCTGAGACCCAGGACAGTTTTAGTAAATTCTATTAATTTACTTAAACTTCAGCTTATTGTAGAAAACAGGAGTTTTCTAGTCAATAATCTTATTTTACAAATCAAGGTTCACTGGTGGCAGATCCAAATCTCCTCATCTTGGCTTTCTGTGTATCTCTACTCAAAGTGTTCCAGGGACTCCATGAAGCTCAGCACACCAAAGTGTACTTACCTGGTATTTGAGTGGTTCTCGATGAGATACCAGGCAGCTGAGAAATTCTCACTTGTGAAGTCAGCACTCATTCCACGGAACAGCATTTCTAAGTCCTTCTGTGGAAATTTACCTCTGAGGAGGAAAGGAAGCCTTAATATATAATTCAACAGATGATAACATAAAATGATTCTGGAAAAAAGATTTGTGAATATCCCAGCCTAGCTGGAATAACAAAGAAGAACATGAATCTAGAAAAACAAACAGGAAACCAAATCCTTATGGTAATATACTACACACTGCCAAAAATATGTCTATATACATATGTACCAAATACAATTTCTACATTTTGATTAATTTACTATCAGATAAACTGATTTGCATATGTGAAATGGGAAAAGGTGAAATCCATATAGTAATTATATGAATATTTATTATAAGGTTTAAAGACAGTTTAAAACATCAAATTTAATTAATATTTGTTGTTGTTGTTAGGTGTCATGGAGTTGACTACAACTCATAGCAACCCTATGAACAAAAGATCTGAAACCAATCCTGTCTTTTGCCATCCTCACACTTCCTGACACGTAAGAGTTCACTGCAGCAGTCACCTTGTCAGTCCACCTAGTTGAGGGTTTTCCTCTCCTTTGCTGATCCTCTACCCTTCCCAGCATCATGTCCCTTTCCAAGGAACAGCACCTCCTAGCAATATGTCCAAAGTATGTTAGGCAGAGCCTCATCTTTCTTGCCTCCAAAGAGCAGTCTGGCTGCACCCACTTTAAGACGAATATATTCGTTTTCTTGGCCATCCATGGACTGTCCAGTGCTCTTCTCCAACACCACAGTTCAAAGACATCAATTCTTTTTTCTGTCATTCTTATTTATTGTCCAGGTCTTGGATGAATAGCTAGCAAAAACCATGGCCTGAATCAGACGCACCATGAAATCTATCAAAATATAATTATCTAACCAATGGGTAAACTGAGGAGCAAAGATCAAGCTTCATGTTGCAAAAAAATCTTGAATGATCCAGGAAACATCAAAAAAAGATAGAAGTTATACACACAATCACTGTAAAACAAAACACCACCACAACAAAACTGGTTGATACTGAAACAAGTAAAAAAATACCACATAAAAAGGAGCCAATGGTAATGAAGGAAAAAAGTTCAAGCTGCACTGAAGGCACTGACAAAAAATAAGGCTATAGGAATTGATGGAATATCAAGTGACACATTTCAACTAACAGATGCAGCCCAGGAAGTTTGGAGGTCAGCTGCCTAGCTAACTGACTGGAAGAGATTCATATTTGTTACCATTCCAAATAAAGGTGAATAAACAGAATGTGTAAATTATCAAATAATATTGTTAATATCACATTTAATAAAATATTGCTGAAGACTATAAAAAAACCCACCCAGCTAAAATAGTATAAAGTTCATGTTGGGTTTGGAAGAGGCTTTGGCACCAATATCATTGCTGATGTCAGATGGATACTGGTTGAAACCGAGAATATCAAAAGAATATCTCTTTGTCTTTTATTGACTCTGCAAAGGCATGTGGCAGTGTGGATCATAATAAACGATAGCTTAATTGTACTCAGGAGAATCCTGAACCAAGAAGTTGCTGTCTAAACTGAACGAGGGAACAATGCATGGCTTAAAATCAGGAAAGATGTGAGTCAGGGTTGTATCCTTTTTCCTTATCTATTCAATCTGTACACTGAATAAATCATTCATGAAGATAAACTCTATGAAGAAGAATGTGACATTAGAATTAGAGGATGACTCATCAAAAGCCTGCACTGTGCAGATGAGACAACCTTACTTGATGAAAGTGAGGAGACTTGAAACACTTAACTGCTGAGGATCAAAGACTAAAGCATTCAATATTGATTGCATCTCAACATCAAGAAGACAAAAATCCTCACCACTGAACTAATAGGCGACATCATAATAGATGGAGAAAAAGGCTGAGTCAACAATTTCATCCTATTTAAGAGTATTTAACCAATACCCTTGGAACTGGCAGTCAGGAGACCAGGAGACTTACTATATTAGGTAAGTCTGCTGTCAGAGCTCTCTCCAAATTATTACGGAGCAATGATGTCAGTTTGAATAGTTAGGTATACTTAATTCGGGATTTGCTCTTTTCAATAACTTGCTAAGGTTCTGAAAGCTTGACAATAAGAATGACAGAAGAATCAATGCCTATAACCCATGGTGTTGGAGGAGAATACTGAATAGTCCATGTTGTTGTTATATACCATTGACTGAGAATCAACCAACAGCTGACCCTCTCACAGGTTTTTAGTAGCAGCTAATCATATGGGAGAAGACTGCCTATCTTTCTCTAGCAGAGCAGCTGGCAGCCCGGCTCTTTAACACTGAGACATCATGGACCGCCAAAAAACTCAAACAGATATGTCTTAGAAAAAGTGCATCTAGAGTGCTCCTTGGAAGGATGATGAAACTTCATTTCACATATTGGGGCATGTTGCTAGAAGATTCTATTCCTTGGAGAAAGCCATCATGCTTGGTAAGAAAGAGGATTAGTGAAAGAAGATCCTCAACAACAACCTCAATAGTGACTGCAGCAATGAGCTTAACTGTGTCAGAAATTGTCAGGAAGGCACAGGATAGGCTAAGTTTCAGATGTGCTGTTCCCAGGGTCGCGGTGAGTTGTACTTTACTGGATGGCACCGAACAACAATAACTACAATGGGTAAAACTCAAAATTTGAATACACTAAAATTTTTTTTTAAATGTAAATGTTTGTTAAACATTTCTTGTTAAAGATCTAATGAAAATATTTTAAGACACATAAATGCCAAAAAATCATCAATGGACTAATAAAATCAGATCGAACTACTAACACAGCCCACATATGGTCTGCAAATTACTTTGCTGACTTGATTTTTATATGTACTTTAAGATCAGTTCACTTAAACACTGATCACATGTCTGCTGCATGTCAGGCTCTATCTAGCAGGCTGTTTTGAGAACAAGGGCAGTCTGGCTGGCTCTGCCCACTGCAGCACCCAGGGGCCACACCCAAGCCACACACAGGTAGGGTGGCCCTGCCCCCGTCACATTCCCTGAGGCACAGCCTAGCACCATGACACAGTTTCTCCCTTGAAGTACTCTACCTGGTCCACAGCAAACTCTACCACCTTTGTGCAGAGTAATAAATGCTCCTTCTCTGTACTCCTTACGAGTGGTCTCAGCATGCTAAGGTTCCCAAGTATGCACAACTTCAGGAAACACTTCTATCTAGTGATCCCTCGGAAACCACCCCAAGGCTTGGGGTGAAAGGACCTCCAAGCACTCAGCAATGCTTTTACACACACAGAAAAAAAAAAATCCCTGCAAAAGCCTTTCCTCCTCCAAAGAGTCATTGTCCTAGAAGGTTACAAGCAGCAAAAGGAGTCCTACTTTTACATCCTGTTACATTTATCTTTCTCTATAAAGTTTTCTCCTTTTAGTTAGGGAAAGGGGGAAAAGAAAATAAGCTCTGATTTTAACCTTAATAAGTGACAAAAAGATGAAACTTTGTAGAGGTAGTTGTAACTCCAGTCATGGTAATGTGAAGACTGTATATCCTTTAACTTTCCTCAATAGCTTCACAGGTCAAGTGACCTGAAGCCAAAATCTACCTGTGCACACAGCTATGAGAGTGTGAATGTATATGTGTGTTCATAAACATGCTGGTAATCTCTACCAGTCAGCAGTCTTAGCAGAAAGAAGTCAAGACTCTACGTTTTCAGACGTTTATTTTGTTTTGGGTTTGTCATGCTGGTTCTGATGCTTTACTTAGTAATAAAATCCAGTTAGCTGTGGAAGTTTTCTTCATTTTATTTATTTGAACACCATGACTCCAGTTGAAAATTTGGGGAATATAATGACTGAGTTGAGACTTGGGCTAAGTGAGACCATGCTGAGTCCTGGCAAAGGAATCTAAAAAGACAGCCTGGCCCTAACGACTGGTAGTGTGCCTGTCCAGAGAGCTGTGCCTAGGACCTCTGTGTGTGCGGATCAGAGTGTGAATGTCCACACACCGGACACAGCAACCCTGGCTCTGTATGAAGCTTACAAAGCATCATTCCACTTGGGTTCCAGAATTTAAATTGCTTAAGAATGTGAAATGATTTTAATAGACTCAAAATATAGGACAAAATCACCAGTATCAGTGAAATTCTCACTAATAATACTCCTACTAATTATTCAACTCTATGAAGCCTTCATCGAACAAAGATGAAGTAAAAAAACTCACATATTAAGAGCACATCTCCTCAGTAGAGAAACAGAGTTGTTCCACCAAAATCCCATGGACCATGGGCAATCTTAACACTCAGAATCCTGGGGAACCTAGGGAAAACAAAATTGGCCAGGAGAAGGAATAATAGTGCTGATGATCAGCTCATAATAAGCACCACAGACCACCCTAGCAGAAGCTTAGTCTCCAAAACGAGAGAGAGAAATCATACTGAAACACTCTGGAAGACAGAGGACTATCTCCTCCATCCACAAGAAAATTAACACCTGAGTCAACCTTCATCTTGGCAAGTGAAATACTGGGGAGACTTGCCCAGAGGTGAAAAAAATTTCCAACCACACGGAGATAAAGCGAGGCAGCTGGCAAAATCTTGTGGCAGGAAGAGAGACATCCAGAGGAAGACAGAGACATCTTCGAAAACTCACGAAGACTCGCACTTCCTGGAAGGTCTAGCACGTGTGCAGTCAATGGGAACCTGCCTATGGAAATTCCCATAGAAATACAAGCCTCCTTAAGCAAAATAATAAACAAAACAACAACAACAAAAAAAACCCCACAACAAACCACACTTACAAACCATGCGAACTTCAGCAGACATGGACTGACTGGCTTAAAAATGCCAGCCCACATTATCTGCCAGCACAGGACCACGAGTTACCCCACTATCCCACTACTCACTACACCAACACAACCCTACAGCACCAACTGCCCAAGATATTTAACCTGCTTGTTTTAATGTCATTTTTTAAAGGCATATCACTATCTTAAACATGAAAACCACCATCAACCCTGGAGGAACATCATCACCAAGATGACAAGAAGGTCAAACAGGAAGCTGTTACAAACATACCCCAAAAATA